TATAACAAGCCACTTTCGTTTGAAATTTGATTCTGAAGTTCTCTTGAATCGCGTGGGACAAACAAACGCCTGAAGGACGTAATTAATTGTCACTACAATTGTTAATTGTAATTACGAAGTTGCGTCTTGCGCTATTAATATTATCCAGTTAGGGTTACGGTTAGGAATACAGATTGCGCTAGAATTTCAAATTTTTGAATTATTCCTGATCCGAACCCTGACTGAATTATTACTAGTAGTAGTAATAAATTTTTCTCAAATTTTACAAAATATTTCAAGATATTACCCAGTTTTTGTCTGTTTTCGTCAGATATTTTGTCACCTGTTATTCCAATTACTGAGCCGAAACAAATCATCACTGCTATTAAGCGTAATTACCTGGCGGAGCGTATCTAAAGTTCCGTCCATTTGACGATTGCGCAATCGATGACGTAATCCAGGGCTACTCAACTATTTTTACCGAAGATCGGCTTCAAAAATATTTGGTTTCGGTTTTTCCAGAAATTATATTTCGGCATCCATAAACACGCACTTTCTCGGTCGGCAAATGATTATTATAGATAATCAAGATTGTTTTTTTATGGCGTTATAGTTATTTCCATATATAATTAAATCTATAAAAGTGATTTTATGAAGAGAAACTTCAAAAGAGGGGCTAATGATCCAAAATAAAGAATTAGGTGCGGTCCGAATCGAATACCCGAAATGCCCGGATTCGGACGGCGGCCCGCTAGTTGAGTAGCCCTGACGTAATCTATACGGCGAGATATTAAAACAAAGAAAATCGATGTCGCTCGGTTTTTAGAATACACTTGAAGTTTAGAAGAGCATAAGGGGCCACTTTCGTTTGAAATTTGATTCTGAAGTGGCCGTGAATCGAGAGGGACGTGTTAGGCTACTGAGAGGAATTAATTCGCTAATTGCAGAAATGAGAACACTTCGCGCTTCGTGTTAGCTGGTATTTGCTGGCTTCAGTGTAAGTTTGAAACAAATTTTAGCCTGTTATCGCCCCACCACTACATTTGTGATATATGTGCTTTGATTTGTTTACCTCGGGCTCGATTACGACACTATTATCGTTATCTTTACCGTTTTTTCAAATTCAGGGGTGTGCCTTTAGTCAGTGTGGTCATTTGTAAACACTCAGATGTTTCCCCATTAAGCATAAAATTATAACTGGACATTTTATGTTTGAAAAGGCGCTCAAGTGGATAGGAATACATATGATTTTTGCTTTTGTCGTTGCGTTAAATCTTGCGCCATTTTCCCCAGTGCTTTCACTACTGCAAGACTAAGCGATAGCCGTATTATCTTTTCTTGCCTTTCCCGCCAATTTCTGTGTGTGGTCCAGCTAAATAACTGGAGTTGGTTACAAGGCCCACCGACAATAAATGTTGCACAGCCCTGGTCTAGCGTCAGATAGAACTCGGTTATATTCTGTCATCGCCCCGCCGCTACATTCGTGATATGTTTGTTATGTTTACCTCAGGCCAGGTTACGATACTATGATCGTTATCTTTGGCGTTTAGATCTAGTTTTGAATAGTTTTTCGTTTGCTGAACTTTTTACCAATTTTGCATGTATTGCTATTCAAAGTTGAAGTGTATATGCCGAAATGCCACGGAAAAATGTTTTTGTTAGTATACTCTCGCAGGAGCGTAGCCAGCAATTTTGATCGAAGGGGGGGGGGGGGGGGGGGGGGGGGGGGGGGGGGGGGGGGGGGGGGGGGGGGGGGGGGGGCACAGGTGGCAATTAAATTAATTGCTTTCTATTGCAAGGATATAGAATGTCGTAAATAGAACAATGCACTTGTGTTAAAAGCGTTTTATAGACATTGAAAATATTACCTCAGTCTATACAGGCCTATTACTTATTGAACATTTCTTGGAACGATAGCACGACGGAATTCTTGCAACGCGACGCAGCCTACACTTATTAATAGCCAAGAGATGTGACAAGGGATCGTGCGACAATTTGGATAAGATAGGACTTTCATATTTATCCCCCTGGGGTAAAAATCGATAAGACGGCTCAATCATATGGCGAACCACGGCCTCTCGCCTGATTACCGGGTATAGAATTAGTTAGCCATTAATTATTTTCAGATGCATGACTTTGATGGTAGAGGAAGCTGTAACCGGCCAGCGTCCACGTTAATCATCCTATGGCGGCCAGGAGTCCAGCAATCCTCTGGCAAATAGTTATTTCAAAGAGATTCGAACCTAGGACCCACGCAGGGTAATCAGAGGTGCGCGGTGGCGAGCGCACTAATAACACTTAGCACGAATGAAAGGTTTGTCCTAATTAGTGAGACATATATTGACATTGTTCAGCCGTCGCTTTAAGCAGTTCATTATACTTCTAGGTATTTAATATTTAGTTAATTCACTTAGTTTGAGATTTCAAATAAATTTCGGCGATAGGGGTCATTAAATTAATATGAAATGGTACATAAAAGTGTTAACACCGACAAGTGGTAATTAAAAGGAGATACGCGTGAAATATATCGTAAAGGTACTAGCCCTAGTAAAATAAAATTAATTAGTCTTTTCATGCAAGGATTGTGTTGTTCGGAGTAACGGTAATTTTATATTCAATATAAATGGCTATATATAGGTAGGCTATAGCACGCAATCAGAGAGCAATGGCTTACTAGCAGTGGAGTGGTAGCGTTACACACGAGGGTGGGTACCTCCGTAATCTGTGTAACAGGTTAGGGTTGGGCCATAATTTTGTTCCGATTTTCCTTATTTTAGTTCAATTACGAGTTCGGGGACTGTCTGTGTTAGCCAAGTGAATATACCCCTTGTCCATTGTTTCAGTCCCTTTACACAACTTGATGTAAAGTAGACGAACAAAATTAGTTGCCTCCATATTGGTACACACACTTCTGGAACGTCCAAGAATGTGGGGTTTGAAGTCAGAAAAAAGGCCTTGACTGGCAAAGCATTCTCAATACTCAATTCTTGACAAAGGCTCGCGTAGGTCAAAATTAGGTTTTATCAATTTTTTACAACACGGTAATCCGGTAACCAAACACAGAGTAATTATGTTGGACGACTTCCGGACATAGCACAGTAAACATACGTTACAACTAATCGGCATCGATTGATGTCCTCGGAACACTATTTGAATTGATATACGCATTCACGGAAAGCGGTACTTTTTTGTTTATGTATGGATATATATTGTACGTGAACATAGGGCGACGACTCAGATCCAGATGGTAGCGTTACATGTAAGGATGTGAAGTCTGAAGTTGTAGCCAAAGTATCATAGGAATTTTCGATTTCTAATGGTGGAATTCTAGGTCAAAATTCCTGACGAAAACCAGAAGACATTAACTTGATTAAGCACTCTCAATAGATAACTCGAACCAACTTTAAAACACTATTTCTGGCGCGGTAAATGATAACCAGGGAAAGGACTGATTTGTTTAATGCAGGGGTATGGAGTCGAGTTCAGAACCGAAGTACGATAGGAATTGCGAATTTGTCGGGGTCGACATTTCAGTCTTTCAATGGTGGTAATCAAAATCAAACCAATTTATTACACCATTGGAACCATGGAAACCGGTAATCAGGGAACAGAGTAATTATGTTAGGCGATTTGGTATATTATAAAATGGGAACTCGAGTTGACCTAAGTCGTCACATCATTGCGACCACGGTAAAACGGTATCCAGAGCACAGAGTATTTATATTGGCGATTTGGTTTTGTTTTAGTTGTGAGTTGAAGTTAACCCGATTGATTTACTGGGCACGGTAAAACGGTAACCAGACACAGAGTAATTACGTTGGACGACTTCCGGACATAGCACAGTAAACATACGTTACGACTTTAATCGGAATCGACTGATGTTCCTGTTTCTCTGATGTTGTGAGTACGGTAACCTGGTAATCAGAATACTGAGCAATTATGTCGGCGCTTGCGATTTCTTGTGGTTGGGAATTAAAGTTGATTCAATTTAATGAACAATTGCGCACACGGTAACCCGGTAAACATAGAGGTAGATGGCTTAGTAGCAGATGGTACTGTTACATTACATAGAGGCGTGGTCAATTAAAAAAAAGGTTGCGTGGTTTCGGTAAACCGGAAACCAGGACACAGAGTGATTATGTTGGGCGATTTGGTATATATATCATAAAATGGGAAGTAGATTTGATCTAAGTCATCGCACCATTGCGACCACGGTGAAACGGTAGCATAGAGAGATGGCTTAATAGCTGACGGTAGTATAGCATTGTGTACAGGAGCTGCGAGGGCGCAGTCTGGAGTCAGAGCTGAAGCAATAATTTCGAATTTTTCGGGACGGGAATTTCTGACGTCCAATGGAGGAAATCGAAATTTTCGACAGAAACTGAAAAAGCGTCAAAAATACTAAGCATTCTTAATAGGCAGTTTATGTCGTTTTCTACGGGACAAAGTTTTTGTGGTTAAAATTTAGTTTCCTCGAGTCGCCACCCGTATCCAATTCATCACTCCATTGTGACCACGGTAAACCGGTAACCATACACAGAGTAATAACGTTAGACGATTTCCGGACATAGCACATTAAACATATGTTACAACTCTAATCGGCTTCGTTTGATGTTTCCGGAACACTATCCAATTCTAAATTGCACTTAGAACAAGCAGTACTTTCATGTCTGTGTATAGAGGTATATATAGTGCAGGTAGCTAGCAGTTAGAGCAGGAGTGAGCAAGGTTTGTGACGTAAGAAGTTACATTTTATAAACAAAATTTTATATACAGCGTCACAAAAGTAGAAAACGATAAGTCTCGTGCCAAAACTAAAAAATTTTGTTTGGCTGTGGCAGCATCAGGCGGGCCAGATTGAATTACGCAACGGTCCTGATTTGACCCGCGAGCCGTAGTTTGCTCATGTCAGAATTAGAGAATTAGATCTAATTATGTTTGCGTAGCAGTTACAATACTTCGATGCATACTTTCTCAGCAAAGTTGTAAATTCAAATATCCTTTTTAATTTTTCAGTTTCATATTATACTAGATTATACTAGATTGCATTATGGGTAATATTAGTTCTTCCGAAGAGGATGACGTCAGACCTGCCCCACGACCCCGGCCGAGACCGGAACCGGAAGAGCCAATACCAGATGGCGGGCTTGATTTCCACGAAAAACCGGTTGTGGCGCCACCTCCGCCAGAGGAAAGAACGGACCCTAATATCATTGAAAACTTGGATCAACCCTTAGATGACGATAAATTCAAGATGGGAGTGACCACGGTAAGTTTGTAGCGGAGGCTCTAGTCTGGCAATTGCTAACCGGGGGCCTGTTGCCGCCAAAGAAGACCACCTAACAGTTGGAGGGGGGGTACGATGCTGGGCTCAAACTGATCGTCAATAGTTATGGCTCGTGCCTACCTTCCCGGGGGGGGGGGGGGGGGGGGGGCTCGGATCTCCCGAAGTTTGTGCATCAAGATGCGCACAACTTGAACCCTAACCTGGTACACATACTATGTTCAGGTTGTGCGCCATCATAGTTCACATACATCGGGAGCACCTTTAGCACGCTGTTTATCATTCCCGTGGTATTTGTAGTGTTATTTTATTTGATGGATTCCAAATCCCATTATGTTCAAATAATTCACGCTCAACAAAGTGAAAACACCCCATTAAATAACCTTATCAAAAAATGTAACTAGGAAGAACGAGCAATTTTCTTGTGAAGTGAGAAGTAAATTAAGTTTTGCGCTTAGCTTTGTGGCCTCCCTCTAACTTCTTTGTGACCCACTTGGAGGGCCACGGACTCCCGGTTTAAGAACCGCTTCTCTATTTGTTTATTACCAGATATATTATAGGGCAGGGCTACTCAACTGGCGGACCGCGGTCCGAATCCGGACCTTTTGAGTATTTGATTCGGACCGCACCTAATTCTTCATTTTGAATCATTAGCCCCACATTTAAAGTTTCATTTTACAAAATGACCTTTATTGTTTTGAATATATGTGAAATGAAGGATAACACCATAGTAAACAATCTTGATTATCTGGTATCATTATCCGGTCGAGGAAGTGCGCGTTTACGGATGCCGAAATATAATTTCTGCAAACATCGGACCCAAATAATTTTGAAGTTTTGTATGTGAATCTTCGGTAAAAATAGTTAGTACAAGTTTCACTTAGACGCAGCGAGATACTGGACGCGGGGAAAAAATCCGGTTTTTAAAATATGTTTGTAGCCTGCCCGAATTATCACGCTTTTGCTCCGCAACTAGAGATATTAAACGTTGGGTCGTTGGGTTCTCCTGAAGTATGCGTCAGTATGTTCCCCAGCTTTTCTTTTTAGGGGGGGTGTTTCAAAATGTAGGGGGTGGTAAATAATTTGCTATTAGAGATAAAACTAGGCTATTTGTATTCCTAAAAAAACGACACGGCTGGGGTTCAGGGCGCGGTCAAGCGCCCTGAGAAAATTTTGAGAAATAGGCACCAAAATAGGCTCTAAGCTTGATTTTAGATAACCTAGAAACGCAGTTTGTGATGTAATGAAATCAATAATTATAATATTTAGCTGATAGAATTCCCGGGGAATAGATAACAAGCACGGCTTTCAACCGTAAATATATACTACTATCCTACGTTTCAACAAGTAACTTGCAACTGATAGTGACTAATGAAGTTACTTGCTCATCTGGCATTGTATGAATGGCTACTTATGGCTTTTTTGTTACACATTTCTAATTTTTTGAACATGTTGTTTGACTTTGTATGAGTTAAATTTTGAAATAAGCTCGTCAACTGATCATAATGTCGCATAATGTTGTATTCCTTCAGAACTGAAATATTTTGTTGGTAAGAAGGCTGAAGTTTGATTCTTTTCAATAAAGAAATAAAAACGCTGTCATTCATCTAAAAAAATGTCTGTTTTGTGACATCTTTAAGCTTTCCTAATTATACGGCTGATATCTAAAATACTGCAATGTGTAATCCTAATACCCATACGTATACATAAGATACCGGAATAATTCAATTGTTACGAAATAAACGTGCTTAAACTGTGATAATGATGTAACAATAGACGGTATCTAAAACTCAAAAGGTACCACATGAAGGGTTAAACTATTTCACTCAAGTTCGGCAGGCCATTTTAAATCCGTAATTGGCCCGCAGACTGAGGTTTAGAACCCCTCAGTGTGGAATCGCACCTCAAAATTAGGGGGGGTGTTTGAAATTTTAGGGGGGGTGTTCACCCCCTATAGGGGGGGTGTAGGGAAATCACTGGTATGCGTACCAAGATGGCGGACACTTGAACGTAGTATGTGTATCGGGTTAGGGTTAGGCCCTAATTTTAGGCACAAATCACTTGGCTAGTCCCCGAACTCGTAATATAACTAAAATAGAGAAAATGCAATAAAATTATGCCCTAACCCTAACCTGATACACATACTACATTCCGGTCTCCGCCATATTGGTACTCATATTTTAAGGGGGAACCCGTCGTTTTGTGTGATAAATAAACCATTTTATTAGCGCCCGGATTAACAAAAAAATATATTTTTGCAGAACTACGAAGAGTTCCGCGACACGATACTGAAAAAGAGTCGGGACGAAGGAAAGCAATATGTCTTCCGCGACACGAATTTTCCCGCTGAAAAAGAATCGCTGTATTTCAGCCAACGAGGATCGTCAAAATGGAAAAGAATAACTGACTGGAAAAGGCCTTATGTAAGTGAGACATTGATACCGTTACCACTAGTGGCGTAATTTTATTTTTTAAGTTTCATGCCCCCTACTTCTATAAATGTAGTATTACGTAACTTTTCTGTGTTTATATGACGTCATATATTTGTGGTATGCCACGTCACATTTAAAAATTTTGTCAAGTAGTAATTGATTAGTAATTGATTATGCTTAGTCGGCATGAATATGGTAACCACGAAACCGCATTTAGTCTCTCCCCACTTTTTTCCTCGTGTATTTAAACCTCCTCCTTGGTGGAGGAAGCCGTAACCGACCACCGGTTACGGTGAAGAGGAGTCCAGCAATCCTCTCGCACATCCCACGAGATAATCAGAAGAACGGTGGCGAGCGTATTCCTAACGCTTAGCATAATGTACCAAATCACTAAGGCGAATATGGAAATTTTATAATGCCCCACCGCGAAAGGCTTCATATAACGCCGTCTTTTTCTGCTCTCTCGAAATAAAAATGGCAATTCTATTCAACCCATCCAAAATAACTCATTATTCTTTCACTTTTAGGACTTGACAGAGAATCCTCATCTTCTCAAAGACGGCATAACCAGCGATGACATCATACAAGGATCCCTGGGCAACTGCTGGTGGCTTTCGTCTGTTGCGGCGATTTCTAGGAAACCTAAGTATATGCACAGAGTAAGTGTCTCTCACCTGAAAGAAGGCTTCAGACAACAGATACTATTTTTTTGAAAGAATCTTTCCCGGTATTGCTAACAAATTTCGCTAAGCTAGCTATCGCGAACGATGTTTTACTTGCATCTTCATCTCGAATACGGTTTCAGCCGAGCAGTCATCTATACCGCCACAACCAGGTCATTCAGCAAGTATCCGCGATAAGGGAGAAACTACAATATCTCTTGTTCAGTATTGCTCACTCAATTGATTATGCCCTCGGTAAAGCGTGGTGTAACCTTTTTATATATACGCTATAGGAAATATTTGGCCCTATCTGCGTGTAATGTCGAATGTTCGTATGTTGTAAATATGCACAATCGAATCCAAATAACGGTTCCCGTACATTTGAACCCACGTACATTTGAACCCACGACAATTGCACCTGCATACTATTGCACCTATAGAAATTTTTTTTGTTTTGCGGATATTTGAACCCATACTAACCCTAACCCATGGGTTTTAGCACCCGCATATAGATTGAACCCGCGGATATACACATGGATTCCAATGTACGGTCACCCAAATAACAGATAACGGAAAACACTTAAAACCCTAACGTAACTATATGTGATGAAACCAAATTTCTAACTAACAAAAAAACGATGAATGCGAGCAACACTGAGCGAGGGAAATATGTCATAAAGGAAACGAATTAGAGCAACGACCTTGTTTCAGGCAAATAACATGCACTGTTAACAATATGGGGTAAAAATATTGAAACACATAGTAACTATCCTTATGTACTCGCTACATTCGTTCCCAAATAGGATTTGCTAAGTGTGCCCCGAAAATTAACAGAATTGTGTTAAACATAACTAATATAGGGTTGAATATTTTAGATATTGTATTTATTATAAATGTCCATTGTAAATATGGGAGTGCGCCGTGATTTTTTTCCCTGAAAAAGTTCGGGACCGTTGCCTTACGCCATAGGATTTAATTTCTTCTGTGCAGATCACACAGAGGGTGGGCGATGCCAATATAGGTAATCACACGGCCTTCGCGTTCACCAAAATATTACAAAATCTTCTTTGTCTTTCAGGTCGTACCAACTAACCAAGCGATGACTGGCGACGATTACGTAGGAATGTTTCACTTCCGGTTTTGGAGATTTGGTTCCTGGGTTGAGGTCATAGTTGACGATCGTTTACCTGTAATTCAGAACCGACTGGCGTTTGGCAGGTCAAGTTCAAGAGACGAGTTTTGGTTGTCGTTGCTAGAGAAGGCTTATGCAAAGTAAGTATTTGATCAGGATTTCTTTTAAAATGTCGTACCACACTTGTACTTAGCATGTTCACCACTTATCTTGCCACGGTTGACAAGTAGAAGATGAATTTTTTCTTGAAATTTTACTCCAAAACAGACATTTTCATTGTCTAAAAATTTTTTCAAAGCAATGTTGCGCGCTTTTTCCGAGTTGGAGTTGAGTGAGAGTCGAAAATTTTGGTCAAACCAATGACATTAAACAACATGATAGGCAACTCTGACGTCACTCCATAAGACTACAGGCAAAACATTGTATTTCATGATACGCTCCAATGCACATATTTCTCGTCGCCTTTCGCGTCCGTTTTCCGCTCGCTCTTGCTACTCGGCGTCTTTTTTACGTATAGTACCTGCCTTTTTGCGCCTGTAACGAAACAAAATAATCTCTATATCTAAGAAGTTTTGCTTACTTGGAAAGCTGGAATAACAGGCAAGCTGTAAAGAGCAATTCTGGACATCATAGACGTTTTTTTTTTATCAGAGAAGATTACAAACGCGATAGCGTTTAGCACCTGACGATGCTCATTTAGTTTGGCTCGAGCAAGTCTTCTTGAAATGCTTGTGTGGATGGAAACTACCTATATTTTTTGCCTTCCTCCGATTTTAGACAAATTTATTCTGAGGGATTTCGCATATAATTCTCACTGATTGTTGGCTGTTTATAATTCCTATTGATTGTGAATTCTGATTATAACAATGAGTTGAAAATTTTTTTACCTAATTTACTGGCACCTTTTTCTTGTCAATACTCCAAGCTGAGGTAATAAACATGACAATACATTTATGTCATCTGGAAGCAAAATATGCACACTAATTAATAGTTTGGCACATTGAGATAATACATCATGACAGAAAATACAAGTTAAAGATATGTATGACCATCACATGGTAATTAAAATTAAAAAAAATTAATAGGGGCTGTGGAGTATGGAAAGTTCAAGACAAAGAAAAGAACAAATGTTCATAGCTCATGAACTCTCAATTTTGCCTCCATTGCTTTGTGAAGGCCAGTATATTTTGAGTGGCTGAATTGGTTTACCTTTATGATAGCAACGATTTTGTATTTAATATAGCGAGATTATTTCAATTTAATTGAAGTGATATAATTTCCCAAAGCAATGCTTGAATCGTCTAGAATAGATCAGTGGTGTCAAACTCATGGGTTTTTGAGAGCCGCATTGCATTTTGAAAATTGTAAAAAGAGCCGCAAACAGTTTTTTGATAATGTATACTTAAAAGATATTTTTAAGATAGTTTTAGTTTGTGACATATATTGTGATGCAACTAAACAGTTGGATTAAGTTTTATTATTTTCTTCAATTTCAAATGCAATTACATATTAATATTTGCATTCCACTATTATTGCAACATTTGCAAGTTACAGTATTTATTATAAAAAATCGTAAAATTCTATGTACAACCATCAAAATCATTTTTGAACAAGCTTTGAATAAGGAAAGAATAATACATACACTAAAAATAACTTAATCTAAATATATGAACCTAAAATTAACAAAAATACTACAGTATATACTCAATGTTTTTTTAATTACATTTGTTCTGGCGTTTGGCATCTTTTTTGTGTCACCAGCATATTAAGGCCAGGCTGAAATGATTTTATAGTACCAACTCTAACTAACGAGGCCACATGATCATGGGTTTATCTGGATCTTTACGAATGTTTAATTAATTCCAGTAATGCAAAAAAGTTACTTTTATCATTTCATGTATAGATCAGTAAAAAAACAAATGACAGATTTTTTCGACAAGACATTTCGCACTACATTGCGTGGCATAGGATTGCTTGAATTATTATTGATATTGATTTTTAGTAACTAAGTCGTTGTATAATTATATTAATATACAAACACATGGAAATTTTCTGTTCGAAGTTGGTCTTCGAATTTGTCATATTGACTGCTGAGCTTATTGTGTTTTTTGATTGTATTGATGGAAATATGACAAATTAAACAATGTGCTTCAGAATTTTGTGAAGAGCAGAAATGTTACAACTCCCATTTTCTTCGAAAATGCCACCTTCTTCATGTACTTTGCGTTTAATTTAATTACTCAAGTGTTTTATTCAAGTATTCTTTTGCTAGCTTGATGTGTATTCTTAATTGGGTCAAAATGTGGACAAAAAAAATCAATATTCCAAAACTACTTTCAGTAAATTGTTTTCTGTGTGAATAATCAATTTCACTTTAGAAGGTTTGAAAAATTCTATTACATTTAGATAAAAATAAAAAAAACTTCCAAAATACTATTACAATTATTGTTAAACGTTCGAGGGCCGCACTGGAAGTTCTCTGGGGCCGCGAGTTTGAGATCCCTGGTCTAGATTGAAGATGTTCAAAAAATATATGATAGTATTTTATCATGAATGATGATTATACCCCTTCCGGAATTTCTTCTATAGTACTACCAAAAGTTGATGAACCAAATATAACACAGGTGCAGTGAGGTACCCGTAATCCTCATTTCCAAAGCTGTTTTAAGTATGTCTGGCGTGTTTTGTGCCTTTTTACAAATAAGACCGCTTATGCAATCTTACGCTTTGGAATTTTTAGTTATTTTCCTCAAGCCCTGCAGGATGTGGGGGCCATACACAACTCTACCGGAGGGTCAAATGTCTTTGCATGCCTCCATAGGTTGTTTTTCTATTGCAATTTTCTATTTTCAAATGCAATATATTTCTTGGAATCACACTGTCACTGATATGTCGCCAGACTTCTGATATCTCCCCGTCTGCTATAGTTGTCCTGTGAATAAATAATAGGAAATTGAGATTAGACGAATAGTTGAAAGTTTTGCTTTATGTCGGCTTAATTTCTTGATTGATATACTTACTATTTCTGCTATTGCCTCTTGTGCTGCAAGAGTCTCACAATGCTTAGACAGGTTTGTCCACAACTTTCACATCTGAAGAAAGAGAGGAGATTTATTAATTTTCGTTAAGAATAAATAAAGCAGTTTATATGATTCAGAATGGAAAAGCTAATAAATCCAATGTCTTATGTTTTATTTAAAAAATATTTTACTGAATTTGGTATATAAACCAACTAATAAAAGGGTTTAGTCAGAAAATTACAAGCATTCGTGGCTCCAAATACTTGAGAAATCAGACTATACAATATAGACCGGTATGAGTGAAATGTTAGGTGAACTTGTTAACACTTTGATTCAATACGCAAATAAAAGTGAATGCGTAATAGTATGTTACAATGAGCAGCAATCAACAATGAGTATATATCCTCACTGATTAAAAAAATCTAACTGGAGGTGCATGAACTATTTGAAACCATAAGGGGTAAGTAAATATGTAATTTCGGCAAATGGGCAACTACGTACCGTACTGAATTAATAACTTCGTAGTATTTGACAAAGGCTGGCTTTCCCACATGTACTTAACAGTGCGATACCCGGGTGTGATATACAACAATAGTATTCACCTTACCTTTTACCGATTTCTTTTTTACCCCAACTTTCAAAAATATCATTAAAATCGACAACAACTGTCAAAGCAGGCACGAACACCATTCGTGCTACGCCTTGAAAGCAGCACACATCCGCTCGTTTTCGTCTCGTCAAGTATGTGCATTGGAGCGTGCTATCGAATACGATCTTCGGACAAAAATGCCGGAGTTGCGCATCATGTTGTTTAATGTCATTGGTCAAACTGTATTCATTTGGTACTCCCGTAGTGTGTGTACTAGGCTAGGGTTAGACCATAATTTTATTCCGATTTTTCTTTATTTTAGTTCTATTACGAGTTCGGGGACTGTCTGTGTTAGCCAAGTGAATATACACCCTGCCCTTAGGTTTCAGTTCCTTCACACAACTTGATAGGCGACCAAAATTAGTTACCTCCATATTGGCACATACACTTTTGAAGAGCCATTCATTTTTTCGATTGGCTTAAAGTTTGTAGTCAGTTGTTCTTGTAAATCTTTTCCGGCACCTCAGCCTGGGTATACTTGTATATTTTTTTTTACAGACTCCATGGTTCTTACGAGGCGATTGAAGGCGGATTTAGTCAAGACGGACTTGAAGACCTAACTGGAGGAATGGCTGTATCGTTTGATTTGGGAGATAAAACACCTGGACATTTATTCAGAAGCTTAGTCAAGTAGGTTAAGTGTATTTTTGCAAATCAATGGAAATGAGCAATGCGATGGCCTAAAGCAGTGGGGCTCCGCGAGTTATTCGTTTACTTAATAAAATACTGACTTGGTTAATTTTGTAACTGTCCGAAAAAGCAATAACGGCATTTGACAATGGTAGTGTGGAAATGTGGCAACAAGGTGGTAATTCAAATACGACATTATCTATAAGTTCCAATGGTCAACAATGTCTTTTTTACTTTCATAAATTTATTATGTACTCCCGTAGTATGTGAACCAAGATGGCGGAAATTAGGCAATAATTTCAGGTACAAATACTACGGGAGTCACTTGGCTAGTCCCCGAACTCGTAATAGAACTGAAATATGGAAAATTGGAATAAAATTATGGCCTAACCCTAACCTAGTACACATACTACGTTCCGGTGTCTGCCATCATGGTTCACATACTACGTCATACTTCGTGAGGCTCCTTAAATAATATTAAGCCTCCTCAAGGCACCACAAGTTTGAGTACGCCTAGCTAGAATATAACATGATTGAATGCCACATTCATTCTCTATTATACGAACACATTCGACGCCACCCAATCTGTATCGAATCATTTGATTTTATATCTCAAACGTTTTCTATATCTTTCAGGGCATTCCAGAACAACTCATTTGCATGCTGCTCCATCAAAGGCTCCGCCGAGCGTGAGGATTCCAGAGGGCTTGTCAGCGCTCATGCCTACACCATCACAGGAGCGACAAGGGTAAATATGACCATATTTTTTATGTGACGGAATAGTGTGATAGCGAGGTGCTCCCGAAGTATGTGCACCAAGATGGCGCACGACCTGACAACCCTAACCTGGTACACATATTTTGTTCAGGTTGTGCGCCATCTTGGTGCACATACTTCGGGAGCTCCAATAGCGAATCGATTAGAACAGCGTTTCTCAAACTGTGTTCCGCGGAATACTGCTGTTCCGCGAGTTTTTTCGTAGTGTTCCGCAGACCAGAGATCGAAATTACGACTCAATTGGTTGCCATGGTAATCTCGGCCATACTTCGGCGACTCTAGGTTGTAAATTTGTCTCCCAGAAGAAGTCAGTTTTCAGTAAATCATATTCAATAAGATGTAAAAATTCATGTCTCACTGCAAATGCCGCAAAATTGCAAATATGCCTTTTTTATAAATTTATACCTGAGTTGTTTTCTTTTATTCTATTATTATATGATTTTAGTGAAGTTGCGTTTGCTGCGAATTTTTTCAATGATTCAAAATATGTTCACCATAACGACTATTGCATAGTCAATGTTTGTAGCAAATGTAGTTATTTTTTTACACTGAACCAGTGACAGCGCTTTAGGTGTCGCTGCTTGAAGACGTAATAAGGTCCCTTGCGACTCCTGTCGCACAAATATCATTATTATTATATTTATTTCCTGTACCAATTTTTTGTGCATTCGATGTTTTTGTGACGACAAATAAATGATTGATTGATTGATTGCAATTCCCAGAAAAATTGGGGTGTGGAGAGGGTGGGTCTGACATGGCCACACAGGCCCCCCTGATTACGTATATGTAGAGATGTCGTTTGATTTCGGGTTTTCAGTTTATTTATTTCTGGTTATCTCTTGTATTATTACCATGCAATTCAGGCAGTAAGATGCAACATAGATAATATTCCTCAATTTTTTCTTTTTTCTAGATTCCGTTCCGAGGAAAAAAAGTCAAATTGGTGAGGATTCGCAATCCTTGGGGAAACGATGTGGAATGGAACCAAGCCTGGAGTGATGGGTATGCTGCATTGTGCATTTTCAAATAAATCAAACATATTCCGGTACTCTCGTAGTATGTGTACCAGATTAGGACTACAGCACAATTTTTTTCCGTTTTCCCTATTTTAGTTCTATTACAAGTTCAGGGACTTTTGTGTTAGCTAAGTGAATACCCCCTGCCCAAGAGTTTAATTCTCTTTATATACAACTTGATGTAAAGTAGGCGAACAAAATAAGTCATCTCCATATTGGTACACATACTTCTGAAGCGTCAAAAAAGTTTCGAATATTGTTTTACATTTTAACGCTTAATTCTATCCAGGTCTTATCTATGGGATGAGGTGGACCGAGTCACAAAAGACCGGATCGGATATGCAGACAAGGACAATGGAGAATGGTGGATGGATTTCTACGATTTCAAAAAGTATTTCGCTGACTGTACAATCTGCACGATGGGACCGGATTTTGACAGCGATGGTGCTGCTACCGGAGACAGGTTAGAGACTCCTTTAGTAATCTGTTGTTAGTGCACTATGCGTGCTTTCTTGTATTTCAAAATGTATCTTTTCTTATACTCTGTACTTTAAAAGTGTGCCAGTGTAGGGTACGTAGTATTTCCCTGTTTCGAGACCTGACTTTCGGTACTCCCGATGTATGTGAACCAAGATGGCGGACACCGGAACGTAGTATGTGTACCAGGTTAGGACTAGGCCATAAATTTATTCCAATTTTCATTATTTTAGTTCCATTACGAATTCGGGGACTAGCCAAGTGACTCCCGTAGTATTTAAACCTGGTACACATACTACGTTCTTGGTTCACAATCACATACATCGGGAGCACCCGGCTTTCTTTTAATTGTCTGTTCCGCAGTGTCTAATAATAACGAGTAGATTGCTAGGTTGTGTGATATATTCTTCAGTTAAATACGATAGCGATAAAATAAAATCAATATAAAACGGTAATATAACTCGTCGAGATTTGATTGAGGTAGCAGCTTGCTTGGGTCGATCGTCGAAGTGCGCGTCATCCAAGAATTCCAAGTGTCTTACTCGATACGCCCAAAAAAACAAATCGGGCTACCAATCAACTGCAACGTTCCCTCTAACCTGCGCAGCTGCGGGGCCGCGCAAATGGTCGAAAATCCCCGCGCAGTACTTTCGTTCTGCCACGTGCATAAGTATTACAATGTTTAAAATGTCGTGTTCTTTTCTGGTTTTTCTAAATTTTCCGCGCAGACCTTTTTTTTTTGGAGCTCACATGAACTTTTATTCCGCGCAACTAAGCAAACTATTTGAAGGAACGTTGATCAACGGCCCACACGACCCGGGCCTAGGTGTCGCTATACTACGTCATCTTTCTAATTAGTAGAACGCACTGCTATATCCGTATAATTAGACAATAATGCGTGTAAAATTGGCAATTCTGAAATTCGGTAATAATATAGATTTCTGAACGAAAAATTAAAAATGGAAATAAAGCTCATTATTCGTTACTTTTAATAGTGCATTAGATTTACTTTCTGGGGTTAATAGAGTTCCATATGGCGTAGAACACATGTTCTCAAAGTGCTCTATACGGATGCACGTGGCTCCGTGAGCTATTCGTTTACTTATTAAAAAACTGACTTGGCTAATTTTGTTATTGTCCCAAATAGCAGTAACAGCAATATTGAACTTTGTAAACGGTAGCGTAGAAATGTGGCAACAAGGTGGTAACTCATATATGACATTATCTAGAAGTCCATATTTATAATATTTATTTTATAAATTTATTGTTGGACTCCGTAAATAATAATTAGCCCTCTCACGGACTGCAGTACACAAAAAGTTTGAGAATCCCTGCGACCTAATAGTGTTGACATTGTGACTCAAAAAATGATGCTCCAATCCCATGCCCTCAATTCCTTTACGGGTAAAGTGGTAAAGAAGGCATATCTGAGCAAAGATACGGGCGATCACTAATAAGCAATACGTAGAAAGACATCGGTGCATTACACGCCAGTAATATACTTTGATTTAAATTTTTCGTTCAATTCTAGCTAGTCTCTTCCGGAAAAAAAAGCGCACATACATTTTTCTGTCGCATATCTGTAAAAAACTTATGCATCGCCTTTGCAATATGCTTATTCTTAATACATTGTGGGTGAAGACTGTTCCCTTATGAGCGATATTATTGCATCGTGGGTAAATAATTGTATTGTGGGTAATTTATTGCATTGTGGGTGACATTATTCCATTATGGGTAAATTTTTTCAGTAATGTTTTTTCTCATTTCAGTTGGTTTTTATCTAAAATCAAAGGCAAATGGATCAAAGGTTATTCAGCCGGTGGTTGCAGAAACGAAGTCGACAAGTATGCCACCAATCCACAATATTATATGGAGTTACGGGAACCAGGTAGGACTTTATTGTTTTTTAAGGTAGATGAAAGTTCGTAATGCGTGATTAGGAGCCTATAAGCCTATAGGACGGCTTGGCCGTATGGCGGAGCTAGGCTTCTCGTCCGGTTACCAGTCCATGTCGGGTATGGGATTAGTTAGTTAGTTGTTTTCGGATGTATGAACTTGATGGTGGGGAAGCCGTAACTATAACTAGGGAAGTCAGAATTTTGAATCGAAGCGATTCGAATCAACATCAATTCGAAACGATTCGAAGCAATTTAAGAAAAAAGGGCTTGATTCTATTTAAAAAACAATTTAATAGATACCACAAGGCAACTGCACGACACAGCGACGCTACAGTTATATCGACCAAAAGCGTTTATTATCCTTGCGTTTACAGCTTTTCAAAGCCGTGACACTCCCAGAGTCGTTATATTGGTAGCAGCTTTCGAGGGACCAGTGTTTCCGCTCAATTTTGTTCGACTACTTAAAATGTTACAAAGTTTCACAAATATTTTGAACGTTTCTTCAAATTATCTACATAATATTATTATAATAAAACATCATTGCTTCGTACCTTATTAAAAACATGTATGTCTGCGATGCTTCCCTCTTTATTATTACTTCTTTTGAAATCATGGCGCATAACGGTACTATCTAGCGATTATAATTTGGATGAATTTTGAAGGTCAATTTTAGAAGAAACAATCGCTATACACCCGGTAATATTTGCAAACATAATTGTATGTGAATAAAATTAGTAACTGAGTATACCTTTATGTAACAAAAAATAAATCTCAGTAATATATTTGGTAGTTGATACATCCATGCAATGTGTTTTTTTAGTAACTTTCTTAATTCTTCAAGCTCATTATTGTTATTTTATCAAAATTTATACTATATTTCTTCCAAATTTAGGAAAGTTAACGATAATATGATAATATACTAAATAGAATCAGATTCGGAAATATTCGAATCGGAACATTGCGATTCGAAATTCGATTTGAAAAAAAAATTTTCGAAACTTATTTCCCAAGCCGTAACCGACCAGCGGTTACAAAACTGTGGCGTTCATTCATCATAATTATTCTTCAAGGTTTTGGCCCGCGAAGGCACTAAGAGTGGTCAGAGGTTGTAGGACGGTTTTTATAACGATTAATACGATTGTCGGCCTTCACAGGACGTTAAATAAATTTAATTAATTAAATTTCGTTAAATGTCCATGTTATCATGGTTTCTTATTTCAGTTTGTCCGCAAAAGTTTTTACTATATTACCGCAAATTGCGACAAGATTGTCACACATCAGCTTTATTATAGTTTATTATTATTATTAGACACGAAATGTATCGTTCTGTTATTTTGTTGTTGTTGATCGTCTTTTTTGTATTTCTTTTCTCATTAACTACTGAACCAATTAATTTGAAATTTTCAGAGGTTAAAGATTGTATAGAAGGCTATTGCTTTTATTTGTTTCTAAATTTGCTGTGAGATCTGATATTTCATCTGAAATGCGCGGTATAGATTTTAATTTGAGGGAGCACGTTTTATGACACCGTGACAATAGTTTTATGACATCGTGACAATGTTTTTATGACATCGTGACAGTGTTTTATGACATCGTGACAATGTTTTTATGACATCGTGACAATGTTTTATGACATCGTGACAATGTTTTATGACATCGTGACAATGTTTTTATGACATTGTTGACTTCGTGTCCATAATATATTTGAGCATCACTCTCTTGTTATTCCAGACGATTTCGATTCTACGCGAGATGACCCTGCGAACAAGGGCAAATGCTCAATAGTGCTTGGCCTGATGCAGGAGTACAGAAGAATTGGGCGGGAAGACGGACTCGAGAATCTTTACATTGGGATCAATATATACAGGGTGAGTGATGATTTTTATTTTTCCAACTTGTCTTTTTGGACACGTTTAGTGGCCATAACGATCGTTTCAAAATTTTGTTGTTATTGTTATTGTTATTTGTCTCCGTCTCCATTTTTAAAAAATCGCTTTTCTCTTCAAATACTGGACCAATTGCTTTGATATTTTCAGTGGTTAAAGATAAAATTTTTCTCCAGAAGGCTATTACTTTTTTTTTCGCTATGACGTCATTGAAATTATTGCCACTGGGTGGCGCTACGTGTCCATATATTTGAGCATAGCTCTCTTGTTAACTGTAAAAAAAAACATTCTTCGGTATCATACATAGTAATTTTTCGTGTCTACAATAGGAAAGTAGAAATTTCACAACCCTTTGAAAATTCGTAGCTACGCCCATGCCACGCCCATGCCAAGGAGTGTTTTTTCCTCCAACCTATCTATATCTGAAAATTTGGTACTCCTGAAGAAGTATGCGCACCAAGATGTCGCACAACCTGAACCCTGACCTTGTACACAAACTGAGTTCAAGTTGTGCGCCATCTTGGTGCGCATACTTCAGGAGGTCCGAAAATTGTGATAACCAAGTTAGTCGTACAATCGGAGGGCGAAACACGTAGGTTCCATTACGAAAAATTGCTATGGTTATTGCAGAAACATTATTTTTTTCACATTTAAAAATGAAAAAAATCGACCCTCAACTACCAAAGCTACGCCCACTGTGATAGAAATGGAATTTGAACCCGAGATTTTAACTCTCGCTGCTATCATAGTGAAATCTGGCGCTTCAACCTAGTGTTGTTCAACCTCTTCCGTAAAGTGCAACCCCAACGAAACAACCCATATACTTTAGGAACCCCTGTGCTGTAGTAATTGCAAATCAATATTATCTTCAAAGTTCTTCAGTGTTGGAAAACATCATAAGTATTTGATTATATTTGAACAATATACAGTACTCCTGAAGTATGCGCACAAAGATATTGCACAACCTGAACCCTAACCTGGTACACAACCTGAGTTCAGGTTGTGCGCCATCTTGGTGAGCATACTTCAGGAGGTCCATATATACATATATTATTGTTCGAATGGAAACTTGCAGAAATAGGAATTCGGACTGAAAACAACACCTTTAACCGCTATTTTCTCATGATATCATCATCAACTTATGATTCTTTTCTTTCAAATAGCTGAGCGGCAAGCCCGGCCGTCGTCTTCCGACTAACCACTTCCGGTATAACCGTGACCTCGTGAACTCCGGTTCCTACATCGATAAGAGAGAGGTTAGCATAACCACTGAACTGGAACCGGGTCATTATGTTGTCATACCCTCGACTTTTCACCCAGACAAAGTCTCTACTTTTCTGCTGAGAATCTTCACAGAGAAGCGAATCGATCTGGAAGAATTACATTGAGAACAAAAAAGACGCGAAAAATTTGGATTTTTGTGATTCAATTGCGCCGAAGGGGCGTAGATTTTGTTAGATGTTTATCTCTGACCTACACAGCTTCAAGCGACCAAAAAACCTCGAAATTTAATTTGTTTTTTTAAGGCAATTGAAATGAATGGTCGAAATATTTGGAATGAATTACTTTCATATTTGGCTTGTTTTTGTTGGTGTTCCTTATAAGGTTGAAAGGTCAAGCAGAGATGTTCTAAACAAATCAAACATTTAAAATTAAATATATTTTAATTTTTATATTCCTGATTTTAGGAATAATTTAGAAATTTCATCTAAAAATTATCAGTTTGTTTAATTGAGGTCTCGCAGTAGAACGGAAACCTTCTCGTTAAATCTACTTTGAATCCTATGTGTTCTACGAACATGACACATAGGTGGAAGGTGCAAACAATACTTACGACAAATGAATTTAATCCACTCCTTGGGTATTCCCCAGTTGGGTATGATAATTAACATACCTACATTGACTTTGACAAATCACAAGAAATCAATGCTTGTCACGACTTTTTGTGAATAACCACTTTAAATTCTTCTGTAACTGTAATATAATCAATAAGTAGTGAATTATATAGCAATCATTGCGTCATTAGTGACATCAATTTGATTACCTCACATCTTAGTTATGCTTTGTCACAATTGATAGTTTAATTTTCCTGATCATGCGATCAGAATATAATCAATGAGAAGCGAACAAAATTCCAATCACTACGTCACATGTGACGTCAATTTTTACGTCACTCTTATATTTTATATTAAAGTTATCAAATTCTACCACATTCGCCAATGAATTAGGAAGTAAATTCCAATCATTACGTCATTGATGACTCACTTTGATTGCGTCACATTCAATCACATTTTATCCCAATTAACACTTTGATTTTTCAAATTATCACGAAGGTAATTCCAATCATTACGTCTTTAGTGACGTCACTTTTTATTCACATGACTTTAATTTTATTCTGCCTTTTTTCATTTTGTATCTCTGCACAATTTATTATTTCTAGAAATTATTATTATTAGAATCGTACTTTTGCGGCTTGTTGCAATTTTTGTGTTTTTGCAAAAAATTTCAGGTTATTTGAAATCTAGTTTCAATCAAAAATTTTAACCCGTTTCGCACTGTTTTCTGGAATAAATGATTATACTCTTTCTTTTCTTTGTGTATGTGTAAGTACGGCTTAAACTCCCATCTCTCGATCTTGAAATAAACGAAAGATCAACAACAGCTCCTAACCAACGACCCGTGGCCCCGAAGGTGGCGGCACAGAGTAGTTGCGGGGTTTTGGGTGATAATGTTAGGCGCAAAACTGTTTTCACTTTGCTAAGCAAGAACTGTTTGAACATGTCGGGGTTTGGAATCGACCAGTCAAAATGACACTATAAATATCATTTGCGCTGATTATTTGGTTTCTGCGAGACTAACTACTTATCCTTCTTCTATGCTTTTAGGATAGGATTTACAGGATTTACATATTTATCCCGGGGGAGAGGAAAGCCGTTAAGACGGCTTATCCATATGGCGAACCACGGCCTCTCGTCCGGTTACCATTCCAAGTCGGGTATGGGATTAGTTTTACTGTATTGTTTGTTTTCGGAAGCATGGACTTGGTGGTGGAGGAAGCCGTAACCGACCAGCGGTTACGTGACGTGACCCAACGACGGCGAGGAGTCCAGCAATCCTCTGGCACATAACCATCCCTGCATGGGATTCGAACCTGCGAACCCACGCAGAGTAGTTAGAGGTGCGGTGGCGAGCGTATTCCTAACGCTTAGCCCGTTGAGCCACACCGCCGCACCGTTTTGTGTCGGCGGATCCGTATGCATATATTGCAAGGATACTGTAGCAAGAGTAGAGATAACAATCCTAAGTGAATCAAGAGTCTGCCAAGTGTGGCATGCAATACATAGGAGAAACGGGATGACATTTAAAATACCGAATAACTGAACATATTGGAAGTATAAAAACCCAAAACAAAGATCTGGTTGTTCAGTCAACCGGGACATTCGCTTAAAGATTTTAGTGTCATTGACTTTGAAAAAATATTTCATGACCACATTTATCGAAAGAACAAGGAATCTCATTTCATTCATCTCTTCGGGACACACGAGCCACAAGGGAAGTTTAGACCAATTACAAAAAATTTTCATTCATTGTTTTAATCAATTCTTGTACCTAATTTTTTTTTTCTTAGAATTGGATCATGCATGGCCAGATATGATAATAACAGACAAAATATCACTATATTACATTTGACGCACAGACAACTTTTCTGGTCTGCATTACACAATACTGAGAAACAAAACACCATTGTTCAATTTGGACTTCAATTGTTAAATATGAAACAAAGAGAGAGATCTCATCAATGACATTTATTTCGGCCACCCGCTGTTATTTAATCAAGAAATTCACCGATTTTATTGATTATTTAACAAGCATGACTCCTATAATTCTACACTGATTGTTCAAATATGCATGCAACTGCTTTTCTTGTTGTAGTTGAACTATGTATGTCTGAAGAAGTCTGACCTTGGTCAGACGAAACGTTACAGAAATATATTTGTGTTATTGTGCAGCAAGACTCTTGAATCACTTAGGATTGTAAACATTAACTCGTTTTCGAGGTTCGTCCGTTTTCCTTTTGTCAGATTTTAGTCGTCTTACTGAAATTCATGTATACATTCAATAACTCAATGGTCATTCTGTTTTGCGAGGTGCTTCAGCCTAGAAAATATAGTCCCGAGACGGGCTATGACGACAGACTAATCTAAAATTAATCAGTGTTTTCAAATGCCGACTCATTAACTATTTTGAATAAAAAAAAATGATTGTTAAGGAACATGTAACTCAGTTTTAATCGCCATGCAGTGATTTCCCTAGACCAGGGTGGTTCAAGGTTGTCGGCCCCGCGGGCCACACTATAGTTTGTGTATTGTTCGCGGGCCACAATATTGCCAAGAATAGGTAAACAGTGCCTTAAGGAGAAAATGCCGTTTTAGTTTGTCACCGACACAACTTGCAGACATATTAAGCAAGCATTGTGGTATTTTTCTTCCCATATCCAGTCAAAAATTTGTTTGAATTGGTCAGCTTTATTTTTAAACTCATGTTTACAAAATACCTGAAAACTTATTGATTACCGAATTTTACGAAATTTAAGATAAGGAAGGGTAATTACTAAATATTCTGACATATAGACAGCATTTTTTTTGAAATACTGTTTAGGCTGGTTGCGAAAAAACACCCGGCAGGAATTATATTGGTCGGCCGTTCCATTAATATTTAGTTATCAGCAGGGACGGATTAAGCCCCTTTGGTGCCCTAGGCACTGAAGACTTTGGTGCCCCCTCATGTGTAATTTGATTATAACAACAATAAAGCACATAAGTGTATTATTCATTGAAAATAATCACAACCAACAGTAAATAAAACAACTTTTACAAACATTTTTAGGTTTTTACCTGTTATATATAGCCGATATATATTTTGGCCTTTTACTGCCGATATGATATATCGTCAAACACGCAATATCGAGCCGATATATCGGTTGAGCTCTAATCCTGAGGGATGTGATAATAAAGATTCATGCCTCCAGTCTCAACGTGAATCAAAATACCAAAGGATACAAGTCACAACTGTAGTTTGAAATTTTACCGGTACCTAGTAGTCTACCTCAGGGTGGTTCAAGGTTGCTAGGTTGAAGGACCGCAAAAACTTTTGAGGAGGTCTCGCGGGCCGCAAGTCGGAGAAAACCCAAATGTGAGCGAAATATCGCGAATTTACTTACCTTAAATTTAATAAACAACGAGAGTTTACCGTTCTAATCAGACTGGTATTATGTTGCATGGGTGGCGTTCTTTTAAAGAAGATATATAAAACCTCCAGATATTTCAAAGTTAATTCCCGAGAATTACCGTTGTATTTTGCGCATCTCGCGTTTAATGTCGCTTCAAATTAAGATCTTCCGTGACAGATATTACTTGAAATCAAACCAGACACTGTGTGATGGGCAAGGAAATACGTTTCCGCCGTGTTTTCCCTATGTCACCTTTCTTGCGACACTCATTTTATTACGAATTGTTATATTGAGTAAATTAAAAACTTGCGTGATCAAGCTTACTGCCAACAATATAAAAGAAAACGACTCATAGGCCAATTTCGTGTCCAATAAATAAGTTTCAGTGTTTATTTTTAATAAAGAAGGTTTGATACTTGAAGACGAAAAACAAGGAACATTTTGAAGTTTGAGTCGTCTGGTGAACTCGTAATATTTTAATAAATACCGATAAACTATATAAAATTCTGCTCTAAAATTCCTGTGGTGCCCCTCTTTGCTTGGTGCTCTAAGCACGATTATCAGGCATATAATCAACCTAGGTTAATAGATTCCTCGATCGATTTTTAGTTTTCTATGAAGCCTATTTTATTAGCATATTTCCCGACCGAAAATATAGAAACCAGTTAACAATTAAGACTTGCCAAGCACATCATTCAACTTCGCTAGTTTCATCAGATAGCTATACCCCTAGTTAATTCAGTGACAGCGACGCGGGTCACAAAAAATGAAGCGGCGGGCCACATGTGGCCCACGGGCCTGGGTTTGGACCACCCTGCCCTTCTATAGGCCAACGAGTGAGCAAACATCCCCCTAATTTTGGGGTGTGATTCTTCAACTCTTACCTTTGAAAATTTGTATTCGAATTACCAGTGCTGTTAGCCAGTCAAATACATGCCAAGTTCTTCTCCCCCCGCCGCCCAACCCTTAAAATGAAAATCTAGGGAGCATACTGTTAACTCAGTAGGACGGTCTCGTAATAAGCATAAAGAATCGTGCAATGGTAATGTGCAGAAATAATTTTATTCGGGTCAGGTTGTTTCATACATATGGTATAAGATTTACATATTTATCCCGGAGGAGAGGAAACGCGATAAGATTACTCTCGGCCTCTCGTTCGATTACCAGATCTGATTTTACAAGGAATTTGCTTGTTTATTTCTGGTTGTCAGTTACTGCGGTTCGGAACAATTTCAAAAGCACTAAAGATATAAACCCGTGTCTTTCTGCTATTCCTTATTACTTATCGATCAGTAAGTATGTTCATAGGTAAATTTGTCTGTCTGTCTGTTAGATACACGCAATATCTCACGAAATCGAGATTGAATCTGCTCCAAATTTTGCATGTGCATCCATCATATTTCGGACCAGAAGGCTTTTAATTTTGAATGAATCATGTCATATAATTAGCGAGTTATTGATTAATTAGTGGGACACGCGGTGTCGCTACACACACGCCGCTAGATCAATAAGTCAGCGGTCTTTGATCGCCATCTCGTTAAGTATCTTGTTCGTTCAGTTTGATTCTGTTTATCATTGATTAATTTAAATAAAAAAGCGGGACAATAACTTAGCTAAAGAAAACAGAATCAAATGGGACAGGCAATTACAGAAAAGTACCTATAAAACCTTTACTGTCTAGGGATATTTTGGAGAAATGAGATAATTCTCGTGAAGTCGACTTTACTGATGTAATTAGATCATGGGTGTGAAACCTTTGCTACTAGCGGGCCAGATGCAAGTATCTGGGTGAAGCCGCGGGCCGCCCATTCATTTAAAGTAGTATTAGTAGTTGCAGGCACTAAATATTGTTTCTTTTCTTGCTATTGATCAAACAGCATTGTTGGGGGACCTTGCGGTAATGGCGAATGAAAACGCATAAATTTCTAAAACAAATTCTATTCAAATTTATTGTCACACCGACTTTAATTCGCGTTTTCATATCATTGTGTATTTTGCTAGCTAGTACTTTGCACGTACCAGATTACCTACACTAAAAAACGTTTCGCGGCCACATCATTCAAAATTTGCCGCATAATTATTCTTTGCGGGCCGCATTTAGCCCGCGGGCCGCAGTTTGCATACCCCTGAATTAGATAATAATACTTTAAAATCAATTCTAAATCTTTCGACCATTCATTTTAATTACACTCGAACAGTTAATTAAATTTGAAGGTATTTTGGTCGCTTGAAGCTGTATAGATCTTAGATATACATTTAACAAATATTTTAGGCCCTTTCGGCGCAATAGCCCTATTCTCTGAGCATCGACTTCCTTGTTTACTTTAGTGACATTGGCCAATTAGCAATATGCAAAAAGTGACGTAAAAATGCCCCCTTTTCGCATCGGCTCAGACACTTTTCTCACTCAGACAGATGTATATGTATGTATGTATGTATGTTTATTTGCCTCAGAAATGTAACAGTAACTGCTTAATAATCAAACAGTAAAACAGAAATTGGATACTTGTTCAAGACCTTACTGGCCTAAGACACAGATGTGCGACATGCACCCCTAACAATTATAACAGCAGTTTAGGACTGCTGCGTTATGATATGACAACAGACATGAAATATGCTATACAAATAAAACTCTAGTAAAATACACAAGACAAGGAGATACGACACAATGAGGATATGTACAATATAGTGAGGCACGAGGAAAAAATGTAAAACAGAAATGCAGAAATCCTTTGTTTAAGTTTGAGTTGTTAATCATAGTTTTCACTGGACAAAAGAAAAAACACCAGAGAGTCTAGCAGGCGTTTTCGCGTTTTTGAACTTTATTCGTTAGTTTTCAGTTGTGTTTCGGAAGTTTAAATATAAATCAGATAATTCAATGATCACTCTGTCTTCTTAGGAGATTTAATTCAATTGTGATAATAAAAAATTAGTGTAGAAATAGCTGTGATAGACTAGGCTTAAATTCTTTAACGGTACATTTACAAAACTTATTGTTGAATGCGATGAATCAGAATGATGGTTTGAAACAAGTATCCCATTTTACAAGCGCCAACTCTGAAAATCACTCTTAAAATAAGTCTCGAAAATTTTGCAATGGTAAAGTATAGGAAAAATTTTTCGGGGGTCAAAGGTCGGGAAAGGTCCATTAAATTTCGGAAATCCATTTTTTTCTGCGTTCCTTTTTGCTCTTAGTGTAATTCCTCCAGATCGATTCGCTTCTCTGTGAAGATTCTCAGCAGAAAAGTAGAGACTTTGTCTGGATAAAAGGTCGAGGGTATGACGACATAATGACCTGGTTCCAGTTCAGTGGTTATGCTAACTTCCCTCTTATCGATGTGGTTACCGGAGTTCACGACGTCACGGTTATAAAGGAAGTGTTTAGTCGGTAGACGACGGTCGGGCTTGCTGCTCAGCTGGTATGGAAAAAAAGAATAATATGATCAAAATGAAACCATGCACCATACCAATCTTGCAAACTATAGCTACCACCTAGCAGTGTGTGCATGTGCAGGGCTGTGTTCGAGGGGAAAGGCATATAAATACGTTGAATAAAAAAGTACTCCTGTACAAGGGCGTAGCGAGGAATTTCCAAATGAGGAAGGGGGTTCTATAATTTGCATTTGGCAAGTTGAACCCGGAAAACCAGGAATTGCAAGAGGTCTTGAGTGTCAAAAAAGCGTTTCAACGTACGAAAAATTGTTATGTATGATACAAGCGGGAAGGTTGCCGACACGCACTATGGGAACGCCCGTCTACAAGTATAAGGATATTTCGGAGTAGGAGTTGCTTAATTTATCATCTGCTTTATCTAGCCTTCTTCGGAGCGAAAATTCGCTTTCATTCTCATTAACATATTCATGAAAGCATTTCTTTATTATTTGTTTTAAAAAAGCATTTCTTTGAGTTTTTATGCCCATTATCATACATAAAACCTTTATATCGACCAATAAAAGTAAATAAAATTTTTATTTATGGGGGGAAATTTAGGGGGAAAATTAGGAAAATAAAACCAGTACTCACTCTATATATATTGATCCCAAGGTAAAGATTCTCGAGTCCGTCTTCCCGCCCAATTCTTCTGTACTCCTGCATTAGGCCAAGCACTATTGAGCATTTGCCCTCGTTTGCAGGGTCATCTCGGGTGGGATTGAAGTCGTCTGGAATAAGAGAGTAATGCTCAGATATATGGACACGAAATCCATGATGTCATGAAAAAAAACGATGTCACGGTGTCATAAAACTTGTTTCCATATTTAAAAATTATACAGCGTATTTTATATGAAATATCGAATCTCACAGAAATTTAGGAACAAATAAAATTAATAGTCTTTCAGCAAAAAACTGAAATAACAAGAGAACGACGGTGTGGCGCATTGTGCTAAGCGTTAGGAATACGCTCGCCACCGCACCTCTAATTACCCTGCGTGGGTTCGCGGGTTCGAATCCAATTCGGGGATGGTTATATGCGAAAGGCTTGCTGGACTCATCGTCGCCGTAAGATGTTCACTTAATCTCTGATCGGCTACGACTTCCTCCACCATCAAGTTCATGCTTCCGAAAACAAATAACTGACTGACTAATCCCATACCCAACATGGAATTGTTGAATTTGTTTCTGCCCGCCATATTTTGAATATCTACAATTTTTTATTGTTTAGAGATTACGATCAATCAACGTATTCAAACGATGTTTTTGAGTAAAACATACTTTCGCCTTACTATCTGTTTTTTGTAGCCTTTTGTTAGTGAGTCACTTATGAATTGGGGCGCGAGTGTTTTGATCAATTCTAAAGGGGGCGCGTGACTCAAAAAGTGTGAGAAACATTGGTAGTGAAGATGGTTATTTTAGATAATCAACCCACCGTTCCAACTCCCCCTCCCCCCATGAAAAAAATAAAAATAAAGTCTTACCTGGTTCCCTTAACTCCATATAATATTGCGGATTGATGGCATACTTGTCGACTTCGTTCCTGCAACCACCGGCTGAATAACTCTTGATCCATTTGCCTTTGATTTTAGATAGAAACCAACTGAAATGAGAAAAAACATTACTGAGAAAATTTACCCATAATGCAATAATGTTACCCACAATGCAATAAATTACGCACAATGCAATAATGTCACACACAATGCAATAATTTACCCATAATGCAATAAATTACACACAATGCAATAATGTCACACATAATGCAATAAATTACCCACAATGCAATAATTTACCCACAATGCATTAATATAATCACCCACAATGTATACTAAATAAGCATAAAGCAACGTCGATGCATAATTTTTTTCAGATATGCGACTGGAAAGTGTATGCACGTTTATGATATTCGGGATAGACTATAGCTAGCTTTGGTAGAAAAATTGAATCAAAATATATTAGTGTGTGTGACTTGCCGATATAAGTCTAATTATCTTTTGTATCCCTTTGCGTTTAATACAATGCAATAAACTACCCATAATGCAATAATGTCACCCACAATGCAATATATCACCAACAATGCAATATTATCACCCATAATGCAATATTTTATTGTAGCTAGCTTTGGTAGAAAAATTGAATCAAAATATATTATCAGTGTGTAATGTACCGATATAATTCTAATTATCTTTGGTATCCTTTTGCATTTAATGCAATGCAATAAACTACCCATAATGCAATAATGTCACCCACAATGCAATATATCACCAACAGTGCAATAATAACACCCATAATGCAATATTTTTATTATAGCTAGATTTGGTAAAAAAATTTGAATCAAAATATATTACTAGTGTGTGACGTGCCGATATAATTCTAATTATCTTTGGTATCCCTTTGCATTCAATGCAATGCAATAAACTACCCATAATGCAATAATGTCACCCACAATGCAATAATAACACCCACAATGCAATATTTTTATTATAGCTAGCTTTGGTAGAAAAATTTGAATCAAATATCTTACTAGCATGTGATGTACCGATAAAAGTCTAATTATCTTTGGTATTCCTTTGCATTCAATGCAATGCAATAACTACCCATAATGCAATAATGTCACCCACAATGCAATATATCATCAACAATGCAATAGCTCCCATAGCTTAGGTATAGGCTCTGCAATGAATTGGAGTTACTCGCACGTGCCAGAACTAGATTATCCTAATTTAAAAACTCGTTCCGCGGGACGCACACGATTTAAAACTGGCTCTCTTCCGCGGGCCGAACAATTTTTCTATGTGGTTCGCATTTGGCCCGCGGGCCACAGTTTGCCCACCCCTGTTCTACGTCACCCATGCAGGTAATTTTAGTGCATTAATACCGGTAACGAATAAAGTTTTTTTTTTTGGAAATTACATGTTCCATACCTATATAGCGGTTCGTTTCTACTAATTAGAAGGATCACTTAGTGAAGCGACGCCTACGCCAAGGTCGCGCGGATAAGAGAATTACCACGTACCCTACGGTACCACACCTTTAAGTTACGAAATGAAGGCAAGATATTTATTGAAATACGAAAAAGCGCTCATAGTGCACAAGTTAGAGTCTCTAACCTGTCTCCGGTAGCAGCACCATCGATATCAAAATCCGGTCCCATCGTGCATATTGTACAGTCAGCGAAATACTTTTTGAAATCGGAGAACTCCATCCACCACTCTCCGTTGTCCTTGTCTGCATATCCGATCCGGTCTTTTGTGACTCGATCCACCTCATCCCAAAGAGGAGACCTGGATAGAAATAAGGTTAAATGTGAAACAGTATTCGAAACTTTTTCTACGTAAATAAAAGGCAAAATCAAATATGAACAGGTTCGCATGAAAGGAAGCTAACCGTAATGATCGTCTACCAATTTCATACACTGTTAGGGACAGACAATCCGATCCGATAACAGAATTTGGTTTCCGCCTCTTCAGCGCCGTGCTTCAATTTTTGTATTTTAAATGCTTGATCGGTAAGTATGTTGATAGTTATTACTTATCGATCTTTATCGGTGAGTATGTTGATATGTATTTGTCTGTTTGTTTGTTTGTCTGTTAGATGCACGCGATATCTCACGAAAGCGGGGTTGAATCTGCTCCAAATTTTGCATGTGCATTCATCATATCTCAGACCAGAAGCCTATCGATTTTGGATGAATTTTGTCGTATAATTAGCAAGTTATTAATTAATTGGTTATGGGACACGCGGTTTCGCTATTAAGTCAACGCGAAGGATACACGCCGCTAGATCGATAAGTCGACGGTCTCCGATCGATATCTCGTGTATTAATCTGTGACGAATGTTTTCTCTCGTGGCGAAATCGCTCTCATTTGATTAGAATTGTGTTTCCTCGCAAAAATTCAGCAATAGCGGCAGATATCAAACATCGTGAACCCGACTTTCTTTTTCAGAACGCGACGACGGCGTTATTGAGCCATTACTAATAATAATGATTATTATTGATGCCGACTGCCGACTTACTGGCAGATTTTCCGTTTGCCACATTCTCAAATTTTGGAAATACGTGAAACTTTTTTTATTTTAAATTAAATTATTTTTCGCGGCCTTCGAGTTTTGCCGGAAAATGATATGTGTCTGGTAGATGATAAAACATTATTTGCAATCAATTTAGAACAAATTTTACTTTTCACGACATCCCGCTTCTGAAAATACAAACTTATATCGCAAAACAAGGCGTTTTGTAACATTTATTTTGCACTCCCAATGAAATACATATTTTTCGGAATTCAGGTCGTCAATGATCCGGTCTTTGGTGACTCGGTCCACCTCATCCCAAAATTTATTCTGTATAAATAATGAGATAATACACGCATTTTTACTCGTTTGATTCATTTGGTGAAAGGATTATTGATAGTAATCCAGAAAAAAAATTCAGTTTTTAGTAAATTGCTCAAGGATAGAGTAAAATGGTGTTGGAAATGGCGTATGAATTTTTATGTCTTTCTGCAAATGCCAGAAAATTGCATTTCAAAAATAAGTTGAACAAAAAATTTTGATTGTCATTTTCTATTGTATATATTATTTGATATTTGGTAACGCTAAAAAAAGATAAATTTTAGGCGCTCCCGAAGTACGTACACCAAGATGGCGCACAACCTGCTAACCCTAACCTGGTACACATACTATGTTCAAGTTGTGCGCCATCTTGGTACGAATACTACGAAAGCACCAAATTTTATTCGAAGCACATGATGGGATATGATACGATAATGTAAGACTTGATGGTGAAGGAAGTTGTAACCGAGCACCGATTACGTGAACCGGCGGCGAGGATTCCAGCAATCCTCTCTCGCGTATAATTATACGCATTGGATCCGAAACTGCGAATTAACACAGGGTAATTAGAGCGAGAAATTGGACTTTAACCGCCGATCCGATGCAAAATGCAACTCACCCATCACTCCAAGCTTGGTTCCATTCGATTTTGTTTCCCCAAGGGTTGCGAATTCTCACCAACTTGACCTTTGCTCCCCGGAACGGAATCTAGAATAAATATTAGAAGAATATTATCTATGGCGCAACTGACGGTACTCCTGTAGTACGTGTACCAGGTTAGGCTTAGGGGATTGTTACAATTTTCCCTATTTTGGTTCTATTACGAGCTCGGGGACTGTCTGATGTAGCCAAGTGAATATACCCCTGCCCATATGTTTCAGTCCCTTTACACAACTTGTTGTGAAATAGGCGACAAAATTAGTTACCTCCATATTGGTACACACACTTCTGGAGCTTCTTAAAATCATTGTCTGAGGTAAATGGTAAAAATACTTCTAGAGGTAACCAGAGACAAGGAGACCCCAAACAAAACGACATCGATACATAGGAGTAGCCAGGGGGCTAAGGGACAATGCGCCGCATTGCACCATAACACCCAATCGCATTATAAATCACCCCCCATCCCCCTAAAAAATTATAAAAAATAACCAAGTATCGTTTACCGTTGTAGCTCCCGTGATGGTGTAGGCATGAGCGCTGACAAGTCCCCTGGAATCCTCACGCTCGCCTGAGCCTTTGATAGAGCAGCATGCAAATGAGTTGTTCTGGAATGCCCTGATAAATAGATAAAATGTGACAAATTAAACGATCCAATTCGGGATATATGAGATGGGGCAATGTAAAGGCGTATCTGCGTAAGATGACGCCCGTGGCAAACTTGAAAGTGCGCCTTTTTGATCGTTGACTGACGATTTTCAAAGAGATTGTTAAATTTAGATACTATTACGTTATTGTCAAGTTAATACATGAATTTAAATTATTTCCAATTTGGAATTTGACGCCGTCATATTTTGATAAGGGCGAGGATATACCGACAAATCCACAGAATTTAACGCAAGCTGATACCGTTAGTGTCGAACAATCTGGACCGACTAAATACGTTGAATATTTTGATTTCGACAAAACATCACCAACATCATCTCAACCTCCGAAGTACGCGGAGATCGGTTATCTGGAAACTTCATCGGGAATAAGATTAAATTCTGTCGGGTCGCCTGTAATGTCAGGCTCGCCATGTTCGACAACGAATTTTTTCTCTATATTTCCGCCCCTATCGAAATGGCGCCAGTTATACGAAATATGGTTGCCACACCCTAGATAGGCCACCAGGGTCTAACAAATACATGGGCAAAGTACGATCCACCGTCCAAATCCGGCTCGTTGGGTGATTCAATCTGGCCCGCCTGATGCTGCCACAATCAAGCTGAAATCAAATTTGGATGTTTAAGCTAAAATAGCTCAAGGAATTTGTTGAGATTGTGGGTAAATTTAGTTTTGGCAAAAGGCTTATTGTTTTCCACCTTTGCTTTTTAACACTGTGAATATTGTTCATAAAATGTAACTTTTTACAGCCCGCCAGTCTAAATGGGCAAAAATGTTGGCCCCTAATTCAAAAACCTTGGTCACCCCTGGTCTAACGTCTAAAACACAACAAAAAACAAGAAAATTTGTTCTCTCGGAATCAATACTTTCCCGGTTGGGAAAATCAAATTCGTCAAATTACACTGGACTTACTTGACTAAGCTTCTGAATAAATGTCCAGGTGTTTTATCTCCCAAATCGAACGATACAGCCATTCCTCCGGTCAAATCTTCAAGTCCGTCTTGACTAAATCCGCCTTCAATCGCCTCGTAAGAACCGTGGAGTCTGTGAAAGAGAAAATTATAGAAATATAGCCAGGATGAGGTGCCGGAAAAATACACAAAGTACAACGGACTACATCCTCCCTGCCATTTGAAAAAAAAATGAATACAGTTTGACCAAAAATTTCAACTCTCACTCCAACTCGGAGAAAGCGCATACCGTTAGTTTGAACAGCAGGCGTGGCGGTGAGGCTCATCGTGCTAAGCGTTAGGAATACGCTTGCCACCGCACCTATGATTACTCTGCGTGGGTTCGCAGGTTCGAATCTCATGCGAGGGGGAGTTATGTGCGAGAGGAGTCCTCGCCGCTGTAGGGTGGTTCACGTAACCGCTGGTCGGTTACGGCGTCCTCTACCATCAAGTCCATGCTCCCGAAAACAAATAACTAACTAATCCCATACCTGACATGGAATGTAACCCGGACGAGAGGCCGTGGTTCGCAATATTGTTAAGTCGTCTAATCGGTTTTCCTCTCCCCTGAGATAAATATATAAATCCTATCCTAAATCCTAAGAGATTTTTAAGAAATGGCAATGTCTGTTTTGGAGTAAAATTTAAAGAAAAAATTCAACTTTTAAACGTGGTCTAGATAAGTGGTGAATATGTTTGGCACAAGTGTGACACGGATTTTGAAACCTGATCAAATACTTACTTTGCATAAGCCTTCTCTAGCAACGACAACCAAAACTCGTCCTTTGAGCTCGACCTGCCAAACGCCAATTGGTCTTGAATCACAGGTAAACGATCGTCAACTATGACCTCTACCCAGGAACCAAATCTCCAAAACCGGAAGTGAAACATTCCTACGTAATCGTCGCCAGTCATCGCTTGGTTAGTTGGTACAACCTGAAAGACAAAGAAGATTTTGTAATATTCTAGTGGGCGATCATGTGGTTAAATCTAGTGGGTTACATATGTCGCATCGCCCCTCCACTGCATGGTCTGAGCACGTGATCCGCTAATATGTGTTCGCGGAATTGCCACGCGGTGGCAAATTTTAATGACGCCATAGCTCTCAAAAATCGAATCCCTTAAAGCAGGGGTCGGCAACCTTTTGTCGCTCGCGGGCCAAAATAGGGGTTGCAAGTCATTGGCGGGCCGCACACATTTTCAGAAAGATGAAAACCGAGCGGATGATACTTTTTATATTAAAAATCAAGCAGTGATACATCTCTCGAATAGAATATACATTTATTTCCTCATTGCATTCAATCTCATAAAATTCCATTTGAGTATTTGCGGCGCCATTAAACTTAGTATCGACTTTTCTGCGTTTTATTGCCATTTGTCTAATTATAATTAAATTATGTGCTCATTAAACGAGTAATTGTAAATTTTATACTTTTTATATTATAATATAATTCAGTCTACACGTGTCTCTCAATAAATGCTGTTACTTAATGAATATAATCATTTAAACAGGTATTTTGTTACTATAATTCAGCGAAGCGTCGCGGGCCGTATGTTGCCGACCCCTGCCTTAAAGCTTACAAGAATATTTGAAATTAATAAAAGTAAAAGCCTTCTAGAAAAAATTCCATCTTCAACCACTGAAAATTTCAAAACAATTGGTCCAGTAATCAAAGAGAAAATCGACTTTTTCATAACGATGAAATTCTGTGTCAAAGAGCAACAACAACAAAAACGTAACAACGAAACGGTCCATAGGCCCACTTACGTGTCCAACGAGAGACGATGCTCCAATATATGGACACGAAATCCTAAACGTACTGAAAACTTTCCGGCTAACACAAGTGTAACCGCCACAAGGTAGGCTACACAGTTTTTGATGACGTGTTCCACAGAGCCCACAAAATTTTGAAAAAAAAAAAAAGTTATAGCCTTCTAGGGAATATAATACCATCTTTAACCATAGAAAATTTCGTCTCTCCCGTTGTATGTGCACCACAATGGCACACATCCTGGTACACATACTATGTTAAACTGTTTGTGAGTTTGTGTGCTTATGAAAGCAAACGATGTGTCCTATCGCTTTCTAATTATTCTGATTTGTGCTATACACAACCAAGAATCCATAGGCCTACACAGTATTTGCGAGTTTCAAATCGGCTTCATTTATATATTAATTTTGGTGATTTCTCAATAAATCCTAATTGGATACCAACATGTGGTTCGAATTTTCATCAACCAAAGACTGAAGAAGTTGTCGGAAGTTTATTACATTCAATTATCTACTTCATTTTTGCTGTTTTTGTTAAACTGCCTTCAAAGGACTGCCCGATTGTAAATCGCGTTTCTCTGTGTTTGTTTTATTTTTATTATTTGGTGGGCAGGCACGTACATTGTACGCTATTTAACCCTATTTTGAGTTCCCAATTATCTCTGCATTTTGTTTTGTCCGTTTAATTTTTGTATTGTTCATGTCAGAGAACCGAAATAAGTGATTGATTGATTTCGCTCCCGAGGACATTATAAATTGAGTGGACAAAGATGAACAGGAAATATTCGGTTTCTCCCAAGAATCGTTGCTTCTCACTTATCGAGGATGCTCGTACGCCATTGTACAGAGTAAATTTTAGAAAAACGCCAAGTTCATTTTGAGCGCTGTGCGTCTCATCGCATCATCATAATCTTCACTAAACTCCATAAGGCATCTCCAGTTTATGAAGTATCGAGACCAAAGACGATTTGTTGAAAAGAATATTTTTATGCGGAAGGTAGCGTTCTCGGAATTTTAATATTCGACTTGGTTAATTAGAAAATGGCGAAATAATATAAGAAAACTGGAAAAATGTTACGGATCTGCGCGTTTTTTCTCATAATATTAAGGTGACAGAATAACATACGTATAAAATTTCATCCGGATCTGTCTAGCCATTAATATACGCTAATAATTTTTGTCACTGTTAAATGTTTTCAGATCCAATATCGCTATTGTAATATGTTACCTGGTTGTTAATAATAACTGCATGCAATCAGATGCGAGCATATTTTCGGATTTAGCCTTTCAACAGAACGTCGCTCTAGAGACTGCACTGACCAAGTTCAGATCATTCATTACCTCATGCAACCATTTGGGGCGATAAAGCTCGACAAACAGACAGACAGTCATACAGAACGACCGATAATAAGGGTATCCTATAGCGGAGATGCAATATTTCAGATTCATCCCGAAACAGTAGCCGATTGCATCAAGCGTTGTTCAGGATAAATCCGATATAGGGGATAACTTACTCTATGCATACAAGTGGGATTTCTAGATATCGCCGCAACAGAAGAAAGCCACCAGCAGTTGCCCAGTGTTCCTTGCATAATGTCATCGCTGGTTATGCCGTCTTGGAGAAGACGAGGATTCTCTGTCAAGTCCTAGAAGATAACGAATAACATGGAATTTTTTTTTTAGTGGATTGAATAGGGTTTAGATAAATACCAGTCATGGGACATTTGCAGAGTATATTATAAATCTATTACACTATAAGCAATGCTCATAAATAACTGTAAAAAGAACAGAACGAAAGTTAAGAACAATAGTGATATTCATGTAGGGTTGACATTATGGTACTCCCGTTTTGTGTACCAGGTTAGGGATAGTGAATAATTTTTTTCCGATTTTCCTTATTTTAGTTCTATTGCGAGTTCGAGACTGTCTGTGTTAGCCATGTAAATATACCCCCTGCCCATAGGATTCAATCCCTTTACACAACTTGATGTAAAGTAGGCGAACAAAATTAGGTACCTCCATATTGGTACACAAACTTCTGGAGCGCGGACATTTTATTCCGGGAAAAAATAAAACTACAGGTATACAGTGTAATATAAGGCTTTTTGCATGGGGGAAATATGAAATTTCATTATTTATCTCGATAAGATGATACGGTGTGTAGAATAAATATTTATCGCAAGAGGAAGAAAATTGGGCGCTCCAGAAGTGTGTGTGCCAATACGGAGGTAACTGATTTTGTTCACCTACTTTACATCATGTTGTGTAAAGGGACTGAAACCTATGGGCAGGAGGTATATTCACTTAGCTCACGCAGGCAGTATTCGAACTTGTAATAGAACTAAAATAAGGAAAAATCGGAATAAATTTATGCCCTAACCCTAACCTGGTACACACACTACTGGAGTAACGAATTATAAATCCCCTTTATCCCGGCAAAGGCGATGAGATGGTTTAATTACTACCTGTCATGCAAGAAGCATCAAAATTTTTAAATGTGACGTAATATAACACCAAACTATTACGTCATATGAACACAAAAATGTTACGTCATATTAAGTTTATAGAATGTTAGAGTTAGAGGCATGATTCCACCCACCCCCATCTCAACCATTTAAAAAATAAAATTAAGCCGTTAGTGGTAACAGTATAACCGTTTCACTTACATAATACCCCCCCCCCCTTCCATCTCGACCACCCAAAATATATAAGTACGCCGCCAGTGGTAACGGTGTACCAGTCTCACTTACATAAGGCCTTCCCCCATCTCAACCATTTGAAAAATAAAATTACGCCTCTAGTGGTAACAATCTCACTTACATGAGGTCTTTTCCATTCAGTTATTCTGTCCCATTTTGACGATGGTTGTCGGCTGAAATAAAGCGATTCTTTTTCAGCGGGAAACTCCGTGTCATGGAACACATATTGCTTGCCTTCGTCTCGACTGTTTTTCAGTATCGTGTCCCGGAATTCTTCATAATTCTGCAGAAATACACATACCACTCCTTTGTTAAGGTTTTGAAAAGGTTTCATTATAGCGCGAACAAGGCCTATTACTGTTCTATTGTGGGAAGAAATTGGACGGCGTGTGTTTCACACCTTTTTCTTTCGCCTCGCGCGCATGTCGTTTTTCTTTTGTAACACTGTAACTTTATATAGGCCTTAGCATGTCGGCGGTGCTTGCAACACATCTGTCAATACTGTGAAAACACCCGGTTAAACAACCTCATCAAGCCATGAAACTAGAAAGAACGGGGAGTTTAAAATGAAAAGTGAATCAGTTTTGCCTCTAGCACTGTTACCCCCTTCCAACTGCTCGGTGGTATTACATCACGTAGAAGTGTTACCGCGAAATAGGCGTGGCGTTATTTGTGGTCACAGACAAATGCTAATATAATTGATATTTATATAATTTCTATTCAAGTGCATATTTGCGTACGATTGTTGACGCCTTTGTTTTTCTAGGACGTTTTGTCAGAATATCGGTCACACGCACTCCATGTGAACCAGGCGATCAATGGGCGCGCCAGAAGTATGTGTACCAATATGAAGGTAACTAATTTTGTTTGCCTACTTTACATCAAGTCGTGTAAAGGAACTGACACCAATAGGCATGGGGTATATTCACTTGGGTAACACAGAAGTATGTGTACCCTTGGGCGGCAACAGGCGCCAATTGAAAACCGCTGGACTAGAGCTTGTGCAACACCGATACAAACTCACCGTGGTTACTCCCATCTTGAATTTATCGTCATCTAAAGGCTGGTCCAAGTTCTCAATGATATTAGGGTCCGTTCTTTCCTCCTGTGGACGAGGCGCGACAACCGGTTTATCATCAAAATCAAGCCCGCCATCCGGTATTGGCTCTTCCGGTTCCGGTTCCGCCCGGGTTCGTGGGGCAGAATTGAGGTCATCCTCTTCGATAGAATTAGTGTTACCCATAATGCAATCTAGTTTAGACTATTATACTAAACTGAAAAATTAAAAGTTCAAGTGCATATTTGCAAACTTGCTGCCGTAAGTGCTGTCAAATATTGAGTACGTGAACACTGCCTCTTCTCTAGCATCACAGAAAAACACAGGAAAACAGAATAAAATACATGGAAAACGATAAAATAAATTCAAATATCTCGAGCAATAACGCCCGCGCAGAAGGTTAATAGGTGTTTCAATAATGGCTCGGATTTGTTGAAGACATTGGGTTCGGATTAATATTGCGCGGGCCACTCGGAAACATTCGGCGGGCCACGGGTTGAACGACCCTGCATTAGCCTGTCCCTCGCGAGTAGAGCTGGGCATTTTAAACCGAATATTCGAATCGAATAGTAAATTATTCGAATCGGTTTAGATCAAAATTTCGAATCGCTGCCATCTTGTTTCTTTCTTTCCGCCAATGGTCAAGGTGAATTCCCCAATTTTTTTTCATAGAAGCCATATTTTCTCAACGTAATTCTGATATATATGACTATTTTATGTAGTGAGTTATTGATAAAACTTGTTTGTCATTCTGTGTGAACGTTCAGAAATCTATCTGAGTGATGTATTCTATGTCTTCAGTAATTCATTTGTTGAGAGGACCAATTACTAAAATAAAGTCGCATATAATTATATATTTTCAAGTATTCAAGATTCGATTCGAAAAAAATATTCGATTCGATTCTGAAATCATAAGGTATTCGAAAATGCCCAGCCCTACTCGCGAGACGACCATTTCATAACCAATTTTAAACGAAAGTTGCATCTTGTGGCGTTCTAAACCTCAAGTGTGTTCTAAACTCCAAGAATCAATTTCTCTTTGTTTCGATATACAGTCCGCATAACTACGTCATCGATTACGTCATCGTCGATAGACGCAACGTAGGATAGGTTGCTTAAGACAATCACTTAAATTCATTTTCACTACATCGTCAGCCACACAGGCCAAATAAATAACCATTCTCAGTACTACACGATTAGTACAGTGTGTCTCAAAAGTAACTATACGCTTTTAATTTTGATTTGCTTTCAGATTCTCATTATCGATTATCTTTTCTTCAGAAAACATAGTATGGATAAGTAGTAAAATTTAATTATTGTTTGCATTTTTCACCAACCCACAGTATGACAAGCAGATTAACCCAAGGAATGAGGTGCGAAAATGCAAAGAAGCATATAAATCAGTAAGGCTAAGAACTCAGCGCATCTTCAAAAGAGATTTTGGATTTAATTCGACTCTGAGTGTTTTCCCCAGAGCGTCCGCTTCTTGGTTATTCTGATCTTTGTGCATCAACTGCAGATCCAGTTTTCACAAATTTACGAATGTTGGTCGTGAATGAGTTGAATTATTTCCAAATTCTCTGTTAAAAAGGCGCTAAGTTTGCCTTAGTGATTTATATGCTTCTTGCCAAACAGCACTTATCACCTCATTTTTCGGGTTAATTTTTTTCGCATATTGTGGCATATTGAGTTATGTACCAGAATTGTTGTGCCTGAATCTTCATCCAAGCGTTAGTTCTAGACTAAACAAAAACTGGGTAGCCTTCCCAGGGCCGGACTAAGCCCCTTTGGTGCCCTAAGCACTGGAGGCTTTGGTGCCCCCATATGTGTCTTTTAAAATACATATAATTAAGTGTATTATCCATCAAAAATACTCACAACCAACAGTAAAAAAATACAACTTCTACGAACATTTTTAGGTTTTCTTACAATTTTTTGACTGTGAAATTTTGCTCATATTCCCAAAACTAATCTTATTCTTACATAAAACATCTTTTACATTAAATAATGAACAATACAAAATTTTGAAAAGATGAAATTGAAATAAAACAATACCAACAGTAAGGAAGCAAACGATGTTTTTCGGTACATTTACTTGAATTTGATTCTGATAAATTTTCTCATATTATCAAAACAAGTCTCTCTCCATACTACTACGCCACTGACATTACAAAGGCACCACTAACATTTGAAAAGACAGAAGTCTTTCACTTACTTTTGAAAAGTTTTTTCCTAATTTTTTTAGCTGCAAAGTCTTTGATTATATCCTCAAAACTAAGCTTATGTAACACATCTGCCTCTATACTCAACAGAGATAAAGCATCTAATATTCTAGTCTGTCTTGTTTCATAGTTGTTCTGTAGGGGTTTTTAATATACTTCAGCTGAGAAAATGAACGTTCTGCTGAACAATTTGTGATCATTAATGTTAAAAATATTTGAAAGCTATTGTCTACATTTGAAAAGGCGCACTCAATGTTATATTCTACAAGAATTTTGTAAAGTTCAGCATGACTGAATCTTGATTTTTTTTTCCTGTGTCATTGAATTTATGGAGCACATATAAATGAAACTGCTGAAGCTCAGCTGAGAAATTACTGTTGAAATCTTCTGGGTAAGCATCAATAAGCTTTTGACAACCCTGCGAATACCTTTCCTTCTCAGCAGATGAAGAGACATTTGGTTGCAGTGGTAGCGTGAGCGCTTCATAGCGTTCAAATTCATCTCGTGGAATGCGCAGCTGGCCTCGTAATGATGCATACAGATGCGCGCATGTTTGTAAGTCTACATTCTCACTTTGCAGAACGTAACTTACTCTGTAAAAATTCTGTAAAATTTCATTCCAAAACAATAACATAAAACGAATTCCAGCTCTTGCATTTTATCTGCAATATAAGTATTCTAGCTGCCTAGATTTGCATCAACTGACTTAGCAGAATATGATTTCCATATATTCTGGGAATTGTCACGATTAAGACTCACGCGTCAAGTCTCAACGTGAATCGAAATACCAGATGAACCGAATACAAACTGCAGTTTAAAATTTTACCAGTACTTATTAGTCTAGTCTACCTTACCAGAAAACTCCCCAACTTCGCTGACCTCTAGATCGTCGAAATGCGATCGCGGAACCGCCACATAGTGCGCCATTTTTAATTTTGATGTTGTCGCTACACCAAACTTTCGACAAGTAAGTTTCAGTGTTCATCACTAATGTACCTTCCCCGAGCATCAACCTCCTTGTTGACTTCGAGTAATTGGCCAATCAGCAAGATGCAAAAAGTGACGTAACAATGCACCCTTTTCGCATCCGTTCAGACACTTTTCTCACTCAGATTTTCAGGCATGGTTGTAAACATTACCTCGTTTTCGCGTTTTTTTTATCTCTATTCGTTAGTTTTCAGTTGTGTTTCGGAAATTTGAGTATAAATCAGATAATTAAATGATCACCATGTCTTTTTATAAGTTTTAATTCAATTGCAGTAAATGAAAAATTGGTTCAAAAATAGCTGTGTTAGACTAGGCTAAAATTCCTTACCGGTACTTATAAAAAGGTGATTATTGTACGCCATGAAACATAATGATGGTCTCAACAAATACCCCATTTTACAGAGGCCAACTTGCGAAACCACTCTTAAAATAAGCCCCGAGAATTTTGCAATTGTAAAGTATAGGAAGAATTTTTCGGGGGTCAAAGGTCGGGGAAAGGTTCATTGATGTACACGATTTTTTAAAGGTAGTTCGCAAACCTCCAAACATTGATCGAGAAGCTTAATATGATGCTTGAGGAAAATAAAATACGAACAAGTCTGAGTTGTCTGTTCAACTCGTAATATTTTATTAAACACCGATGAACTATTGAAAATTCTGTTATAAAAATTTCTGTGGTGCCCCCCTTTGCTTGGTGCCCTAAGCACGTGCTTATATTGTTTACTGGTTAATCCGCCCCTGAGCCTTCCACATTCAAACTGAAATCCTTGACACAGTACAGTCTCAAGAAGGCGGGGCCTCGTGCCAAAATAAATCCAAATATTAACAGATAAGTTACAAAAATTAAATTATCGGCTACGCTAGACATTGGCAAAGTACTGCCCGCGGGCCAAATCCGGCCCGTTGAGTTATTCCATCTGTCCCGTCTGATGCTGCCACAACCAAACTGACACCAAATTTTTATGTTTTAGTTAAAATAGCTCAAGGAATTTGTTGAGATTGCTGTTAAATTTAGTTTTGGCGCGAGGTTTATTGTTTTCCGCGGTTGCTTTTGTAACACTGTAAACTTTGTTCATAAAATGTCACTTTTCACGTTACACTTGGCCCGCCAGACTAGGTGGGCAAAAATTTTGGCCCCTGGTTTAAAGACCTTGCTCACCCCTGGGCTACGCTCTAATTCAAAGCGATCACAATGAAATTGAAACTTACTGGATTACTTACTAGACAGGGGTGCGGGACTCGTACCAAAATAAATCAAAATGTTGGCGAAAAAGTTACAGCGGTAACATCATGGGTGCTCCAGAAGTATGTGAACCAAAATGGCGGACACCGGAACGAAGTATGTTTACCAGGTTAGGGTTAGGCCAGGTACAAATACTACGGGGTCACTCGGAGGGTCCCTGAATTCGTAATAGAATTAAAATAAGGGAAATTGGAATAAAATTATGGCCTAACCCTACGGTGTCCACCATCTTGGAGCACATACTTCGGGTGCACCAAATTTTGACTATGTCCTGGTTAAGAGCAATAACAATGAAAGTAAAGATCCATTCACTATCTTTAAAATGCTGGATTGCAATGAAAAGCAGGGGTGAGATACTAAAACCGAAGGGTAATCATAGGGCGGTGGCGAGCGTACTCCTAACGATTACCACGATGTGTCACACCGCCTAGCCGACATAGCATATTGTAATACGCGATATGGCAACGAGATAGCGATCGGGGACCGCCGACTTATCGATCTTCCGCGTGTGGGAATTCTCCAAAACATAAACTACGGTTTCGATTCCTTCGCACTGACTCAACAGCGACACTGCGTGTTCCATCACTAATTAATCAATATCTCGCTAATTATACGACATAGTCCAAACTTATCCAAAATCAATAGGCTTCTGGTCCGAGATATGATGAATGCAAATGCAAAATTTGGAGCAGATTCAACCAAGCCTTCGTGAGATATCGCGTGCATCTAACAGA